ATAGTCTAAAGGGGTCACCGACAGGTGGCAACGCAGAGAGAGGGGTAAAAAAGTAAAAACGGGGGTTGGTACAACCGCTATCAATAGTGCCCCCTACCTAACTCTGACGGCAGGGGACAAGGGCATTTAATGCCTGTCTGGTCGCTCAAACAGTGCAAGAAACGACCGTTAAGGGCACCACCGATCGCCACGATGGCCTCCTAGTCATCTTCACTTGCCACCTCGCACCGCTTGGCTGCACAGCTTCCCGCCACGTGCACCAGGAGCGATCCTGCGGCGACACGTCGTTGGATGCGCTGGAGCAGGGGCGCAGACTAGTGGCTTCGCCGCGGCAAGCGTCTTGCCGCGGTCGCTATCTTGTCGCACCCGCAAGCTCGTCGCTCGCCAGGTGTTGCCGGGATGCGCGGCGCATCGCGGCAAGTCTCTTGAAATGCCTTGGTTGGCCTTCCCGGCAAGCTCCTCTTGCCAGGGTCTTGTCCTTCCCGGCAAGCTCCTCTTGACGGGGCCTTGTCTTCACAGTTAACACTTTGTTCTTGAATGGCAGTAAATGGGAATAGCGAAGGATCTTGGCGGACGTCCGGCAAGCCTTGCCACGGGACACTGCGACTGCCCGTGCACAAGTTCGGGGTACTAAGGTACCCCTACTTTAGTACACCGACACCGTCGGAAGGTACGTGCCAACGCCAACAAATCGGGGTACGACAAAGGTTCCCGTAGAGTGCTTTGAAAGGTGTCATTCCGATGCTAGAGTGATAGCAGTTGTTGTAAGCAAACTCGGCTAATGTATCTCTATGCCTATTTAGTAGGCCTGCTAATTGATGCTCTTCGGGCTGATTGTATGGGATGTGTTCTAGTGTACAGTGGGAGATGCAAGGATATGGATTGAAGTTTGATTTGGTTGCCATGGAGTTGGGAGCATATGATGTAGTCCTAGGAGTAGACTGGATGAGGAAATTCCCTATTATTTCAATAAGTCTTTCTATTGGTTGTAACTAATCACATACCCACTGCTGCGGAATTCCTTTTACCTAACCAGGATTGCAGTAAAGATAAACAACGGTGGGCCTGCCTGCTTGTTCAGCACCACCTCCCATGGGAATATATGGGTTTTTGGGTCCAGTGGGAGGATCATTTTCCTTTGAAGGTAATTTCCCCAACCAATAAGTATTGGGCTCCCAAGTAAACAAAGCGAAGGATCAAGTAACCAACATGTTGCGGAGTAGCCAAGTAAACCCAGAAATGACTCAAGTAATCCAAGGGCAGAGCAACATAATCCAACGGAGGAGCTACGTGATCCAACAGAAGAGCTACGTAAACAAGGAACACAAGAACCTACTAAGGATCCACTCCACCTGCCAAGTGGACCAATCACAAGAGCTTGGGCCGAGAAATTCAATGAAGTAATCCATATGCTGATTCAGCAAGCCAAGCATTGGAGTTGGTATTCCAAGTTTCTTGAATAACCTAGCTGTCTGTAACTCGCCAATGGGATTATGTGTAATCCTCCGGTCTACATGGTGTAGGTAAAGGGCAAAAAAAAGTTGCTAATTAGTGGCACTGAAGTATGCACCCGACGTGTAAACTTCTGCTTTGATTTACTAATGTCGCTATCCGTCTAATCATCCTTTGAGACCACAGAGAACATCAGAGAGAAAGATACGTCACCTAAAAAAATTAACACCTTGACTTATATGAGTCGGTTAGAAACTCAAGGCCTGGCCTTTTGTGGGACAATGCCGAGTCCTTCCCAAAATTTCCTGGATCAACGAAAGATCTAGATAACGCTAGGTTGTGATACTGATGTCTAATTTTACTCATATACATCCGATAGTGAAGGCCATGAAGTTTGAACAGCCTCACTTAACCCTGGTTCGGTAACCTTTCTAGCGCCCAGGTATCCATGACCTGTAGATAGAGGCCACTTTCCATTGGATACTCCGAATAAAAGAAGAAGTAGTTACCTAATCATGGGTCTATACGTAAGATCTCCTTGCGTAGAGGTTAAGGCCGGATGAATTACTGAAATGTAGTTTGACTAACATTTCCTCATCGACTACGAGAGTTTGTGGTGTGTGTTCTCGGACTAAAGAAACCAAACAAGCATACCTTTCCTTTAATGGAGTATCTTGGGTATGGTACTCCCTCTTTATCAACTCGATGTTCAATCAGCATTCCTTCACGGGGATCTTTACCGAATGTAAGTCAAGATTGCTATTATCTTTTTAAAGAACATATACTTCAAAGCTTCTAGTATGTCCCAACTCTTTTGAGCCGCTCTCCCAGTCAACGTTCAAAGGCATCACCATACCATAGAACTTTTGAGCTTGAGAAATGCTTTTCTGGCTTCTTCTCCACACCTTTCTTTAACAACTCAGTTAAAGGCCTGCTGATAGCTCCATACCCCGGTACAAACCTCCTATAATAACCCCTGCAACCCTCGGAGTTCGCTGACATTGGCTGGTTCTGGCCAAGATGTCATGCCCTCTACCTTGTTTGTATCAGTAGATACCCCAATTTCATAAATAATGTATTTCCTTTATGAAATTGGGCTCACCAACAAAAAGTTTGTTCTGCCGGAACACTTCCTCTAGCAACTTGAGATGCTCCACCATGGTAGAACTGTACACTAGAATGTCATAAAAAAAGACCAATACCCCTTTCCAACATAGCTCTTTAAAAACACTATTCATGAGTTGTTGAAAGGTTGCCGGGGCATCACCTTGAATTCAAAAAGCCGGTCCTTCAGGTTGTTTTGTAGATATCCTCTTCCTTTCATTCTTATTTGGTGATAAACAACCCTCAAATCTATCTTAGTTGACACCTCATCCAAAAGTGTCAGTCTTCTATGATAGGAATGGGGTATTTGGAAAACATAGTTGTTGCATTTAGTTTTCGATAGTCGAAACACATTCTCCAGGTTCCATCTTTCTTCAACACAAGTGCTGCTTTGGGGCCTGTACTGGGCCTAATTACAACATTTTGCAACAGCTCCTCTAATATCCTTTCAATCTCTGTTTTCTTGGTGATAGCATTTCGTCGGAATACAAATGGTGGCCCACATTTAGAAAACATTTTTAGGGTATTCTATTTCAACAGAATAGATCAAACTTTTTATATATTCTATTTCATCTATATAAATTAAATGGCCCACTCAACTTTCTTAATTCATCCAGGAAGTCCTTCCAGGTTTTGGAGGTTACACAGTTTAAGGCCCGGATCGCATAGTTTGACTTGATCGTGCCTTTTCCCATATAAAATAAGATCTGCTGCCTGGGAGATGTCTTCATCACCATCTAGGCTAATTCCCCGACAATTTAGAAGTTCCCTGGCTTTAGATTCCAATATATTGTCCCTTTCTTTCGCTGTCTCTATTCTATTAGTGGATGGTCGTAACTCTAATATAGGGCTTTTAAGCAGAAAAATCAGCCGCAATCTAGTTTTTTCACAAAGGCTGGTTGAGGCTCAAACTCAACCATCCGTGCTTTGCAGATGATCTTTTTTTTCAGAGGTGGTGATCTGAATTCTATCCAAGAGCTTACTAGTATCATGACTCATTTTAAATGACTGTCTGGGCTTTCAGTTAATGCCAAAAAAGTAAAATCTTCTTTAGTGCTATTTCCTTTTCTTTGAAACAAACTATTTTTGAGTGTGTCTTTAATGAAGGGATTTTACCAGTGAAATACTTATACCCTCCATTCATTTCCTTTTCTTTCCAGGCTAGCTCCCTCTGTAGCCGGTGGTTGATGTAGATGAGTACGGGAAGACAATGGTAGTTTCATTCTAGGTCCCACTAATTGTTGAATAGTTGGCTTGAGTTTTTTTGGATCCATGCAAGCCATTTCCAGTTGAAGTCATAAGGTACCATCCTATTCCAGCCAGGAAGACAACTCTATCTCACAAGTTAGCTGGATCTTTTATTTAAGCCAAAGCCTAGAAAACCTATTTCAAATGAGTTTGGGCTCCGTTAAGTTATCCTCATTTCCTGAGATAAGCGCAGTTCAACAAAACTAAAAGCTAGATATATCGTTGCAAAGTAGAGCTAGACTGCATGATTGGATTGTATAGAAGGATAAGAAGAATTTTAAATTCCTTCTTTTTTTTCTTAAAACGAAAGAAGAAAGAGAGTGGGATGGGATGAAAGTAAATGCAAAGAGCTGATTCGATCAAAGTACCTCGCAGCTTTAGTGCAACAAGCCGATCGAAAGCACTCATCTTTATCGACGAAATGCTTTTTTGTCTCTTCCTCACTAAACGCCCGCTTCCTGGCTCCTCCCTCTTTGCCTAGCGGTTAAGTAGATAGTAGGTCCCCCTGGCCCCGCAACCAAGAGTCACTTGTCAAAAGCTGACCAGGAAGACAATAACTGCTATTTCAAGAAAGCATGGTTGGAGTTCTTCTATTGATGAAGGGAAGAGGATGGTCTTACTTTTCAGAGATACCTGACTTATTAGTGGACTGGTCATGTCGTAGCGGAAGGTCAGAGGTGGGAAACAAGGAAACAGAGGAAATGCTCATTAGGACATAGCCTTCGGTACGAGTTGAAGGGAAGAGGTTTGATTGCTAATAAAATGAGTGGAAGAGCTGCTCGGTCAAAGGCATTCTCTCAAGTAGCAAAGGCAAGACGGAAAAGAAGGAATGAAGGTTGCTAGGTACCGCTCCATGGTAACATCTATCGATTCCGCTATCGGGAAAGTCTGGCAAGGGAAATATCTGGCGGAGGAATTAGAGGAACTTTGGTAGCACTCGGGGGCGGAATCAATCAAAGAACTTAAGAAATTGCCCATACCGACAGCATCTCCCACTTTAGAAAAAACCCTATCCCATCACGCAGGTATACCTGACCCTTTTTTAGCTAGTTTCGGGAAACTAGTAAGTTAAGTAAGTCAAGCCCTTCTAAGCGAAGAATAGCGGAGAGAAATGGTAATGTAATAAGGGAAAGGGAGCTAGCTGCTTCCATATCACCCCCAAAAAATAACCCAAAACTTCTAGAGGCATCTTCCATTCATTTCGATTTAGGTCTTTCTGCACCATATTTAGATCTTCCCTTTCTATGATCCGGAATTCGCAGCAAATCCTTGACTCCTCGAATACGATGGGATTTCACACCTGGCAAATCTTTCACTCTACCTCCTCTGACTAAGACTATAGAATGTTCCCGCGAATTATGACCTTCGCCTGGAATGTGAGCAAATATATCATGTCGATTGCTCAACCGTACTTTTTCTATCTTACGTAGAGCTGAATTAGGTTTTTTCGGTGTTCTCGTCGAAACACGCTGGCATACTCCTTGCTTCTGGGGACATTGATCCGAAGCTCGAGTACGGTCCGTGCGCCGTTTTTCTTCTCTACCATCACGAATCAATTGATTTTTTGTAGGCATCCCTCTTTCCTATGTCCTTCCCCCCTTTGCCCTTTCAAAAGTGGTTACTCCCGATCCGAAGCACCCCATTGCCATTCAAAGAGAGATCCAATCATCAAAATCAATAAAAAGGCCATCATGGGCCAAGATCCAAACAGATCAATCTTGTTAGGAGGTACTTCCCAAGGAAAAGAAAAGGTGACTTCCGGATCAGGGATAATAAATAAAATAGGAACCGGATAAAATTGTATATCGAAACGACTTCTGGCATCACTGGAGGGATCGGAACCACATTCGTAGGCCGACAATTTTTCTAGATAGATCGAACTATTGGAAGCAAATAGAAAAGGAACACCGAGTGGAATCAAAGAAACTAGTGAAATGATCACTAAATAGATAAAAATAGGTGCAAATTCCGACATCACCAAATCCCACTTTGTTCTCTTGCTCTCCTCACGGCGCTCCTTGCTCGCGGAGCGGCATATCGAAAAAAAGACGCTCAGATGTGGATTCGAACCACTGAAGGATTTCCAGGGCAATGCCCCTTGCTCTTCACACTAAAAAAAGAAAAAAAGGATTTGCAGTCCAGCAAGAAAATGGATGCGCTAACGCCCAACGGCTTTCGCGCTAGTTGCTCATTCCGTTGCTTGTTTTGCTCTAACCTGCGGTGGAGGAGCTTCCTCAAGAGCCGAGAGCCGGCCAGGGACTGGACAACCCTTGTTCGGGAAGGTCTTCTTCGCTATAGACGCCACCAAGAACAAGAAAGGGGAGCTACGCTCCTAGTCACTAAGCAGCTATTCTGTCCGACGGCGGACTCCATCAATTTGAGGTTCTTTCTCTCACGTAATTTCGCCCGCCCGTTCTACTTCTGTGCCAGAGGAAATGGGATTCGAACCCATGATACAATCTTCTTGTATGTCGATTTAGCAAACCAATACCTTAAGCCACTCAGCCATACCTCCAAGTTGTTGATCGGAATTGGATGTGCCGGGTTGGTTGCCCGAAGATCCACTACGTAAGCCATAGCGCGTGTACTGTTCTTTACTGAGCGAGAAAGTCTTTATCCAGATCTATGGATCTCCCCAGCGTCCAAGTGAGACCCCATCCAAACCAAATCCGCCACTCGTTGGGCGAGGCCTTGCTTTCTATGAACACCTCACCACTGAATGAGAAACTTAGCCTCCAACCCGACCAAGAGAGAAGACAGGGTCAATCCGACGCCGCCCTTCCTCATATGCCTGAATGGAATGAATATCTCCTTCATCTAGTTGAGAAGGGCAAAATCCCGGTGGGGAACAGGACCGTGACTCTTCTAAACTATTACATGACGGAGAAGTCCATTCTCGTCATGATCGATCCACGTCCTACCATAGTGCCTGGAGAACCTGCTTCTAGAGGATTCTATAGTGATCCACTGGAATCGGCCTCGGGTGACGCCTCCCTAGTCATCGAAAGATTTCATCCCTTGCTCGGTCGTTATGGTGGGGTGAAAACTGCAATTAATGCTCTATCTCCGTCATAGAATATGGGATACTCACTTTCAATGGCCTCGCATTCCCAGAGCCTTAGACTGGCCTGCCCTTCCAATCGGGGTTATAATGGGTCTGGTATCAGCAACACCAGCCAATCGTGTTGGTACGGTGGGTTCCCCATACCCACTATTCGGAAAAAAAAGCTTGCCGTAGCAGCTCAAACCTCCGATCGGGAAATGGGAGTTCTAACCGGTCCTAACCCCAATTCCAAACAAATTGATTGGACCGAGGTTTGTGCAGGGAGAGAATAGAAACTAATAACGACGGAGCAAGAAAATGGATGCGCTAACGCGCAACGGCTTTCGCGCTAGTTGCTCAATACGTTGCTTGTTTGGTTCGAGGTTGAGCTCACCCGTCGCCCTACGTCAGTAGTCTTCCTAACTTCTATTCCCTTTTTTTGCTCTAAGGTAACGTCCTTCAAGAACAGCATTGCGGTTGCAACGGGGCTCTGGGTGAATATTGTCCGCCCGTATGAGCCGGGATGTGAATATTTATAGGTCGGGGTCTTTACTAAAAAACCACAATACTACACTACAACAATTTGAAGAAATCCGCAAGTGACTCTAATTTGAATTCACTAGTCGTGTTGAGTTTTTTTATATCAATATAAAAAATCTTCCAATCCCGATATTCCCACATTTCATTCTGGTCAAGTGTCCATTCCCGAATGAAAGAAATGAGCTTTGCCCCCGCACTCACTTCCGAATGACTCCTTTATCACTCTCTTTTTTATATCAAAAAATAAAAACAGTTTACCTTTACCATACCTTCCAAGCAAGAGTGCTTTATTACAAGATTAAGTTATTACTGAACAAAGAGAAATTCTCATTATAAAGGATGAGAGAAATCCGGAAGCACTTTTTTCTTATTCTAGCAGATGGAATTGAATTGGTCTAATTTAGGAGTTTCCAATCGATTTTTATCTTACCTAATTCTATCTACGCCCATGGGGTAGGTACGTCACAAGCTCTGGGCAGCTATCTTATTCCAAAGAATATAGCTCCCTAAAAGGTTGCCGATACCATACCTCTATTGAACCCTACTGGATCCAATTATTTAAGTGTTTAGTTGAGAGGGACCACATTGACACCATGCATGTGCTAAGACACAGGTCCATCAAACTAATCTGGATTTCTTCTTGTTTACGAATAATGGGGCATCTGCCTAACCCTATCAAACCTCTCTGCAACTACTTCTCTCTGTTCTCAGCAGCCCGTAGGATTCTTCTAGTCTCAAAGTCCTATTAGAACTCCCGCGCTTGCTCCTTTGGAGCCAAATGGATCCGAATTTCGGTAAGATAATACAAGAATCGTATTTGGTTGGGTTCTAACTCTGCTGTTCAGTCTGGCGTGGGTGTGATACCGGTGAAGAAGCGAGTAATTGACAGTCAGGGAAGTAGATTCCTTTAAGGAGAGAAATTCATTGGTTTAGCCGTTAGGCGGAGCTTCTTTACACACCGGTAGCGGAACAGCCTAGGCAGCTTAACGTGCTCTTGGCACAAAGGTAATAGAATGGGAGTCTGACGACACCCGGTACTCGGGATCTCCTGCTTGAAGAAGCAAGGAATTTCAGTTACTCAGCCGTTGAATAAAATAAACTAGATACCCATGTTTCCAATATTTACTTCTCTTTACTTGCAGGACCTGGCCTAAGCATAGCTAGATTTGCTGCACAAGCTCAAGTGGAAGAGGAAGCAGGGGTGGCGAACAAAATGTTGGTATGGAAGATCTCTTGCTCCCCCCTGAAGGGTTCTTAGATTACCAAGTAAGGGAGGGAGGGAGGTACCATGGTTTCCTTGTTTTATTGAATACCAGTAACACGAGTAAACATTTAAGTGAGAAGTTAGGTAAGCGTTGCCAATGGCCAAAACGTTTACTCTTTACTTCTTGACTATAGTAATAGTAAATAATATCACTAGATTTCGGCATAAATACTAGCCAGTTACAATTTCCCAAACTTGATTTCCTTTTTATGCACCTGTTTATGCACCTGGGTCATTGTTCACGAACTAAGACGGCTTAGCCGCCTTTCTTTGGGCCATATGAAGGAAGTACTTCAATGAATGGGTAGGTTGCTAACCCAACATTATAGGCGGGAAGTTCTCCTTTCTCCAAGTATGCTCATTAGACCGATAGGTGAGTAGCTAGTATGGTATTAGCCAATACTAAAAACTGATAGTAGAAGGGTCAGTGGATGGCCCTTGCGAAAGTGGCCACGCCGCATCCCTTCAGTAGCCAATCCTTTTTCTCAACGATGCAGTTCGCTTGGAACAGGGCACAAGGTGTGACGTTCCGAGCGGTGGAGGACAACCTATTTGTTGTTCCAGTTTTCTGCCTTGGCAACTGGCAGAAGCTCATGGAATAAGGGCCGTGGCTATTCCGCAAACATGGCGTGTAAAGAAACCTTACAACGGGATGGCTAACCCATGATCTGTGGTTCTGAACCAGATTCACGTCTAGTCGCAGATTCATAAGATCCCGGAACTGTTCTGCCTGGAAAACCTGGTGCGGGATCTGGCTAATAAGAAGCAACAATAGAGAATCTTGCCTAGCTCGAGGCTGTGCCTCAGTGCCCTTTGTAAGTACTTTCTAGTAAAAAGAACTAACTTTCAAAGCACATACCATGATGGCTAGCTAAAACGAAAGAATGAGAGTACAAGGTATGAGTCTATGCTTCCAGCTTGCTCTAGAAAAACGGAAATGGGATCTCTCTCTGGTGGGAGCCTGGCAGCGGGGAAAACGGCACCTGCAGGGGTCCAGGTCTCCATGATGAACAACCACGACTTTGATCTTAACGAGCTGCCACCTGAGCATGAGCAGCTCGTTCAGGAGCAGCCACTGTTGAAAATAGCGAGCCTCTAGAGGATGACGCTGATACATCATTTGATTTGTTTTGGGATGCAAAAGAACAGCCTGATGAGTACAATTATGATTATGATGACTATGTTGATGACACTGATACCAGTTTGAGCAAGCATGGGTTCAAGCTCTAGTGGATGGGTTTGTAGCTGAACGCAAGGATAATTCATCTACGTAGCTAGTTGGTTATGGTGGCGGAGAAGCCCCTCTTTAGCTAGATTGGGCTCCTTTACTACTTTATTTAACCCGGGGTTATGCCTAAAACCGGTATCTTATGCATGTTCGACTAGTTCCATTTCTGATTCTCCTTCTTCGCTGGGGTCTACATACGAAAGAATGGAACACTCGACAACTTCGATACTCAAATAACCAGCTCATTATGCTTAGGTTGGGTTAGGAAAACGAAGCTTTCCAAGGGACTTGTTCTCCAGCCGCCTACTCCTACTATTGGGTCGGTTGGTCGGTCAAGTGAACCACGCCCAGCAGGTGGGTATGCCGATAAGATTCCTTTGTTCGACGTACGTCCATATGAAGCGAGTGCTTCAAAACGAGGCTATTATGTTGAAACTAGGGCTCCCTTTAGATGGGTAGAGCGAGAGGGATAGCAAGCACTTGAAAAGGGAAGGAAGGG